AGCCCTGACTTGCGCTTTTCGCGTGCTGACAGCGGTTGCGGTTTCTGGTGTCGGAGGAAGTATTCTTTCTTGCGTAGGCGGTGAAGGCGGCGTCGGGACCGGTTGTCGGATGCTGAGGGGGAGGTTGCGCGGAGGAAGAGTGGTTTTTGTTTGATGCGCTCAGTGAATTGTTGCGTTGCGCTGTCTGGGGAGTGGGCGCGGGAGAGAAGGGTGTGCGCGATGTGGGTTTTCGGGGCTGGCGAGGAGGCCATTTTGTGTTATCTTGGATCTTGGTGTGGCTTTTGTAGACTGGGAGTTGGTGGTTCGTGGAATGTGTTGTTGGAGGTTGGAGAAAAATTATTTGATGTCACACACCGATAAGATAAGGAGACCACCTATAAATTAACAGCATAAATAACCACTTTATATACATTATTTGAACATTATCCAAATCGGATTTCCTATTTTGTATATTCTGATTTATTCCCGGATATTACACACACTCTCTCTCTCCCTCTCTCAGTAAATGGGATTAGATCATGCCTCGGCTCTTTGATACTTCCCCGCATATAACGTATTTGACTCAAGCTCAATATATAGTAGAACCAATACCCCTCCCACACGTTAAAAGTGTGGTAGCACATCTCCAAAAAGAATTTGATATAGTTATTGTCTACTATTGACTCCCCTGATTTTGCTTATACCAACATGCAGTCCCAGGCCGAGCAAAAGGACATCCCCAACAACTTCCCAGAGATTCCACCGTTCCCAGATGATGTCTCTACAGCCCCCCTTCTTAGACTGTCATCGGGAAAGCTGCTAGCAGGTGACCCTACAGAGTACAGAATGCTATTCCAAGCATCTACAGACATTGGGTTCTTCTATCTCGATTTATCAGACTCAGATCAAGGCTCATCGCTCCTCGGCGACGCAGATAATCTGTTCCAAGTTGGCGAGAGACTATTTGAGCTGAGCCTCGAGGAGAAGAATCAGTATGATTTTAGCGGCCAGAACTCGTACTTTGGATACAAAGCGCATGGAGCTATGGTGGTTGACAAACAGGGGAACCCAGACCGGAATGAGTTCTACAATGTACGTCAGCACTGAGCACATCCACCTGGACCTTCACAGCAGTTGACACAACTATCTACAGGTTTCCAAAGACGATATTATGGGCATCAGTTATCCTCTGCCAGCACCAGAGACCCTGAATAAAAGCCGAGCCCGGATGGGATCATTTATGCGAAGGTCACATGCAATCGTAACCCTAATTCTGGACATCCTGAACGACCAACTTGCCCTACCAAAAGACACACTGTCTAATTTACACCGACAACAAGCTGTAAGCGGCGACCAGGTGCGATTCGTCAAAGCCCCCCCACAGCCAGTAGACGACAGACGTACGGCGCTGGGCCAGCACACCGACTTCGGAAGCGTGACTGTTCTTTTCAACCGACTGGGGGGACTGCAAGTGCTACCGCCCGGTGCCGATGCCGAATGGGTCTATGTCAGACCACTTCCTGGTCATGCGATTGTAAACCTTGGGGATGCAATGGTTAAGTTTACGAATGGGTTATTTCGGTCGAACATTCACCGGGTTGTGGCACCACCGGGGCTCCAGGCTGAGTCGACGCGGTACAGTCTCGTGTACTTTGCACGACCCGAGGATAGTGTGATGTTGCGCCGGCTGGAAGGATCAGATCGGATCCCTTTTGTGGAGGATGGTGAGACTGAAGAGGAAATCAATAGCAAGGACTGGATTATTCGGCGGGCTTTGAGTCGTCGGGTGGATCGTGTTAATGATATTGATTTTGAGAAGTCTGCAGGGACGGAGCAACCAAGTCGGAGGATCAAGGTCTAGCATTAATCTAAAGTTATTGTGGATAGTCCATATCTGGAACATTGGAATAAGTTACCTGGAATTCAACGCGTTTGCAAGTAGCGTGTTAACATAGACACCTCGTTAGAAAAGAGGCCATCTCTATAGATGATCTATAGCCATGGTATGTATGGAGTTAATACGAACAAGACAAAACACCTGGCTTCACCCTCAAGTCTTCCAAATCGGGAAGGTACAAAAATATTGTTTTTGGCAGGGGCTATTTGTATGTATCACATCCCTCAAATTAAGATAGCCGAGCGTACGTCTATGGAGATTGCCCATCAGAATAGCAAACAGAAGCATAAGTGATAGCCTCGACAAGGGGTAAAACTAGCAGAAACAATCGAATCCACTAAACCCAAGGAGTGTACTACATACTACACTTCTTTGGGTAAGAGGGTCTACTTTAAATCAACCCCTTGACCCATGGAGATAAACTTTAAGTAGATTAAGGGAGATATATTCTTCAAACTGGTGGTTCAAATCTTCTAAAGGCACGACAGCTCCAATTCTTCAACCCGGTGCTTTGGTAAAGACAGTTCAGTTCGGTCGCGGACACTCCATACTCCGTACAGAGGCATCATCTTTATTTCCACCCGTGGACGGTATCATCGAGATCAAATATGACAAATATAGAAGCAGGGGCCTTTGGGAAGAGTCCAGATGTCCTCTTCAATACTAATTAATACCCATAGGCGATGCACCATGTGACACATTACACATTATCCCTAAATTAGAAAGTGGTATAGTGCAATCCGACATCCTGGTTATTGACGTGCCAAGATCTAGATGTAGTAGAGGTTCTAACCTCATTGAATATTGAATGGGCCAAACGGTTACTCCAACATGGCAGCCTGTTCTCACATACTCTGTCGATCACAATCTACCAGATTCAGTAGCTTATATACTTCGAACTGTAGTGACTACTGTGTTGACAACTGCAGAAATTCTGTTATTTCGGATCTTTCAGTAATGACAGCGTGTCAAAAACATTTTTGCCTGACCGGTCTCGGCCAGCTGGCGTATTCCCACCCACTATGGAGTGGAACAATGAACAAAAAGACCGAAATAATTTCTTGATTGGGTTAGTTGACCGTTGGAATGGATTCTAGTCTCCAGCCCCCAGCGACTATTAAATTTTTTTTTTATTTAAAAAAAAGACACCTTTCGGTCGCATTCACCCAGCCGCTCAGTTCCCAGCGCTATGGAGCCGGGTTGCCCACTCTTGCTCCGAAGCGACCTTTCTCCCCCTGATTTATTGGCGGTATTATCCTCCGTGCATAAATTTCAGGTACTTTTGACCGAACACATGAGTAAACTGTGTCTAGGCCTCGGGATTTGAGAAAAATGCAGACCCCGTAACCCAACAATCTGGATGTTCTGTACGATAATGCGTTGTGACAGCGGGTAGCCCTTCCGTATCCGGACTTCCGGGTTTATGCCCTATGCAGTTATTTCCCTGCAGTAGTTTACATACTCGGTTACTCCGTGGCTGGTACTCCATAGTGAGGACGGGGGATCTCCCGAATTATGGATAAGTAACAGGGGGTATGGTACTTTTGTTAGCGGGAAAAAGAAAAAAAGAAAAAAAAGAAACCCCTATATCGTATAGATCTCGAACTGGACCATTTAGAGAACTAGCCTGACCAAATGATAAGCTAGTTAATTTGTCAAATACGACGAAATATCAATCCTCTTCAAACCTTCAAGCCTACACACCAGTCAGAGTACACCGATCCATACAACAGGAAACTGTCTGATTGAACTCAAGAGTCCTGGAAATCAAGATATCAGCTGCTATGGGAGATTTTTCCAGGCCAATACCCATCACCCTACTCCGTATATTCCGTCGCATTTGCCCCACTATACACTATTATGTATTGTCTAACTTCATGGCTTAAGTACTCCGCTCTTGTGGAAAACAATCCTGGCAACGAAAACTAAATAGTGCAACGTTGCATGGAAAACGGAGTATCAAATGCTTGGTAATTGTCCCGCTGTCAAATATATGCACCACTCTCAACTGGGTCCAGTCTATGTATAAAAAGAGAAAACAATAAAGGCTCGGACCGTCCAAACGGGCTGTGTTTCTCACACTTATCCACCCTTCCCAAAGTCATTTACAACGCTAGATACTCCAAGGTTAGAACCGTATATTCGTTTCATATGTGGTACGATGTAAGTCCTCTTCGGCCGAGACTACTCTGAAATGCGTCGACGGAAAGAGTTCCGGTTTGTGCTCACCTTCCGTGGCGCTGTGCAACCCACACCAATTTGACAGTAAAGATTAGCCCGGGGAACCGGGTGGAACAAATTTGGAATCATTGAGATGGGTGCCAGATAGACGATAGAAGGCAAAAAGTAGACATGATGCACGATTTAGACGAGGCAATTGCACATGCATGTCTCCACATTGTAGCATGACGTATGAACATTATTATGGAACTAGACTAGGGGCCGTGTAGGCTAGGGATAAACGCCGTTGGGATTATGGAGGGGTTTGCTGCATCGTTCTTTTGTTTTGGCTGGAAATCATGTCCGGTGTGGAATGACGTCCAATATCCCGGGAAACGGAAACTGGGCGCGATGCAGTCTAATTTTGTGGCGAAGTGGACGGTCTTTTGTTTGTCTGTATTTGGCCTTGCCACCGAGTTTTATCTCCTGACAGCTGCGAACCCGGAAAGTAGTATCTTACTTACATGTGTACGTCAAGCCATACGTCCCGCATGTTTACAAAGTAGTGGGTAGTAATTACACGATATGCACGTCCGCCCCTGGGTGTTTTGGGAATGTACACACCATCTGGATCTGTGTTGAGGGCGTATGCGCAGGGATGCGTAACCTAGAAATTTGGAAAGATGGGTGTTGGTAGTTTAGTTCCGTGCAGAGTCCTGGAGCTGACCCCGTTCAGGGAAATGAGTTCGTTCGATGTGCAGAAATTAATGCCATCGATCCCATGGGTATTTTACGTATGTTCTGTTCTGTCTTGGGTAGGACCCCAACATATAAAAATAAAGCATATCATCAGGATGGATCGAGTTTGAGACAGTATGAATAACGTGGGAGATAAAATCAGTGGTAAACGGGGTATATCATAAAGGATTGTGTTGGTCGGCTGTAATGTGTGTGTGTTCTAACCTCAAGCCGCCGCTTCAGCACTGTCTGGTCTGTGTTCAAGCGCCATGGCTGCTAGTTTCTCTTCAATACTCCTAAGAACCTCGGGGCTTGTTTCTGGCTTGACCTTCTTAGGTCTAAGAAAAGAAATTGAATGTTAGTAAGAAATCCCCAAGCCACACATGTTGTAGGGTTGATATCACACGTACGGAATTCGTTTAGTTTCATCACACTTCGCCTGTCCGCAATTCAAGCAAGTGTTCGCATTACCCTGGAACCAAGTCTCACAGACATGACATACATAGTGGACTCTGCGACGAGGCTTTTTGAACGTGCGCTCGGGTTTAGGTTTTGGCGGATCGGCGTCGCCCGCATAGCCATCAGGATATTTATCAAGTTTAGCCGGGTTCCGCGGGCATATCTTGCAGCGCACATGGCTACAACTCGGGCATTCCTTGGTGCCGGGGGTAAAGAGCGAGGCGCAGAAGTGACAGTAACGGTGGACACGCTGGCGCACCGGCCGCTGGACGAAATCCCGGCCGCCGGTGGGCGACGGCATCTTCAACGAGATCTCCTTGGTTGTGCTGAGCTTGAGGTGCGAGGTCCTGGGGAACAGACGGGGTTGGTGGACGTAGGTCTCTGGAAGCTTAGGCTTGCGGGTTGACGGCTCGCCATCCTGGTTGCGGGCGGCTGGGTGTCTGGGACACTTTGTGCAACGGGTGTGCTGACAGTTAACACACACTTTCTCTGCGCCGAAGGTTGTCTCGCAGCGATGGCAGGTACGGCGTACTCGCATGCGGATTGGCTTCGTTACACGGGTTATCTGGAGCTCCGGGGGTGTCTTCCAGTCGCTGGTATCGACAGTCAGGCCATATTTGGCCAAGAGGGCACGCGCCTTTTCGTGCTGAGTCGTACTGTAGTTGGTGATCATGACAGGACCTGGTTGGCTGAGCTCTTGGGCTGGTGCTGGGGCTGGGGCTGGGACTGGTACTGGAGCTGGAGCTGGTTCCGGTGTCGATGTTACAGGTGGTGGTATTGCCTCTGGTGCACTATATCTAGGCAATACTAGTTAGTATATAGGGCCGAAGTAGAAGAATCATGTATATCGTACGTAGTTTCGGTCGCAGCAGCTACTCCAGGAGTCATAGATTGTCGTTTGGACATTGACCGAGGACGGAGGACGGTCTTCATACGCTTAAGGTATTTAGAGAAGCCCTCTGGCTTGTCTTCGGAACGACCATCTTGAGCCATCATTCAATCGAACTAGAATATAATGACGATTGCTTTGCTGGTATCCAGAGTGTCGGGATTCATTCCACACAAAATATGACCAGTGTGAAGGATATCAAAGTGGACCGGAGGTGTGATTTCCGTGCAGAAGTTGACAGGAGAGAAAAGTAGGGACAACCCAATTATTATAGAGAATCGAGTCAGGAATCAAACTATAATACCGAAAAGAGGTATTGTATAACAAATTGTATAAAAAAAAAAGTCCAAAGCTCAGACGTGGGGATTCCGATACTGTGGTCCTGTGGACTCGGATGGATTGGGATGCTATTGAATCAATTTGATTTTATTTTACTTTAAAAAAGTGTTTTTATGTGTTTTTTGTCATTTCTTTGGACGATAAAAGTGCTATTTCTCCGGGTATAGTGGAAAAATACATGACTACAAGTATTTCTCCATACTAACCATTATAGGGAGGTACCGATCATCAAGTAACGGTCATATGATAACTGGGTACAAAGCCCTGGTAACTCCGACATGTCCTATTTAGTCTCTGATGTGCATCCCCACTCTTTCTCCTCCAACCCGGTAACACCGTAAAAAAAAAAAGAAAATGGCTTTGGCCTCGAAACTCTCTACGGCTTCAGGAGATTTTCTCCATAACAACTCATATCCGAGAATAGCGTGCCATTTAACTGGCCCCTGGCGCGCATCTGACATGGGGCCCCCTGTTTCTTGGCACGTCATTGGTTCGTCTGGCCTTCCGTCCTGAACTACCTTCACACTACCTTCACAGGGCAACGTTTATGTTTCGTCATATTCAGTACAAATGTAAGAAAGTACGGAAGTACTTGGTACCTTTATGTAGCGTTCCATCCCCGGCGGTTGACCGAGGGCGTGGCATATGAAGCCTCCAGCCCACAGGTGGGCCGGGGGCACCGGAGAGGAGTGACATCTGGCTCCAGGTCTCCCTACGGTAGCACCCGCCATCCCGGCTGCCTTTCCACAAACAGCTAATTTATTGGTCTATCAGTGGGAGCGGATCGGGGATGAAATGGTTGAGGGCCACATGAGTCATGAGCGTGTCTTTGATTTCTTCGAGGTTATTCAGTTCCTTCGAAGCCGGGATTTGAATGGCTGTCGATATGCCGAATTTATTTATGGATAGAGTTTGATCTTTTCTTCATGGCCTTTGTGTATTCTAGTAACTTGTACGATGTACATCACACAACATGGACAAAGGGATTGTCACTGGATGTTACTGGATTGGAGATAAGTACTCGTATATACTCGGTAAAATTCATTATTTTCATTGATAGGGTACCTTTTCTTTTCTGTCTGTACAATAGTGTACGTTTATAGTGCTGACTAAAGTATTGTTACCTAGGATCGAAGAAGTCCATGCATAATCCAGAAGGCTATGCAATCATTCCGGTACTGAAAGGTGGCAAAAGAAAGAACTTTTGACACACGGGCATCTCCCCGACGATTGGACCACAAGAGGCCATGCATGATGCATGACACGGGCATCCCAAAGCGCAAAGTACAAAAGTATAAATACGAGTGGTTCGTCTGACGATTTACGATTTACTCCGCAAGTGATGAAATGCATCAAATGAAAAGAAAAGCACAATGCTGACAATACTTTGTAATGGAAGTGACTTCGACCCGAGGATATGCACTACTGCAGTAGCAAACGTAACTCAGCCGTTGATCATCTCATTTTCGAACTTTGTCCTTCAGTGGGCATTTAGTCAATTGTCCTTAGCCTTATCAGGTTTGGAACCCCTGCAATGAAGGTGGGCTTAAAACGGCTTTCTCAAGCTGGGAAACCCGGGATAAGATTATTTTCTTATAGAATCTATGTTGTAGAGCCAGCCCCTTGGGAAAAAGGAAAAAGCAAAAGCAAACGGAAATGAATTTCCCTAGCTAAAGTGGGTCTAATGGGACGGGCGAGAGTGGAGTATTTGGCGGTCGGATCGCTAGTCCCAGGGACGTGGTGGTGTATGTAGTAGGTTGTATCCTTGGTACTGGCTTGGCCTTCCAAGGTTGAAAGATATAAGATACTGTATATATCTGTATATATCACTTGGGCATCGGTGTTTATATCTGTTTTTATATCTGTTAATCTAGTAAATACATGTACTTGGATACAATCACATATCGTATCTGGAACATACTTGGACTTGGAGTATCCCAGGGGGCCTTCTGCATGCAGTAAGCATGAATGACCCGTCCCATTCCCATGTACACGGAAGTATAGACCTGCACAATTTGATACGCAGAATGGAACAATACATAAGTACATAAATACATAAATACAATGTATACTGTATGGTGTATCCTGAGCATTGTAATCCCTAATTTTAGCCTCTCATCTGCCATAGACAGTACTCTACACTTCATGTATGCTAATAATGCTCTGAAACATTATATTCTTCCAAGCTATTTAGATATCCTGTCGCCTCACTTTATACAGTCTACATGTCACTGTTCCAATTATCGTGCATGATCACTCGACCCGGCGCAATGGCCCTGGGTTAAAGCCACAGGCGGGTGACACGCCCGCTTTGCCACCGCCATTCCAGATCGCACAAATCGTCGTGTTCTCGCCCCTTTGCACATCCTATTGGTCTATAAAAACAAACATGAACTGTATGGCCATTAGTATCACGATATGGTGTACAATGTATCTACAAACTGCAAACATTGTAAAGGATCTTTGACTTTTCGCATGTAGTAAACAACATCTCGACTAGTATCGGCCCCATGAACTTCTAGACCAACCTGTAACCTGTGTAACACAGGCCCCAAACCAACCGACCAACTTCCAGCTCAACAAGAAAATCAGAGTTTATCAAACGGTGGAGAGTAAGAACACTTCGCAGTGGGCGATCACATTTATGGAGGGACCAATCAACCACTCTGATGCATATTGCATGTCCACTTCAACCAACACATTGCAAGAAAGAGGAACAAGCCACCAATTGTATCCATCAGAAGCCCTGGAATCTTCTTCAACAGCCACATACATGATGGGACTAGTGAAGTCATACGAGCGTATGAATTACCATCTACGAAGATCATCATCGGCCCCCAAAAGTCTTGTGAGATTGAAAAGATTTTCGTGCTGAGATAGCTGGCTTGATTCCTTGATGAGCACTAGGTCTAGTTGCATCGATCGGCCTGGCTTTTCATCCGTGGCTGGCGGCGATCGATGGCTTAGCTGGAGAGATGCAGGGCACGCCCCTCTGGCTAGAAGAACCGGCCATTCGTGAATGAAGGACGGCAATAGTAAGAGAGAAAAAAAAAAGAAAAAACCTATTATAAGGGTTTTGTTATCCAGCCCCGAGCCATACAGTGCTAATTAACTGCAGCGTCGGCCCATTGAGCCTAGGTGAGCATAGGCCGGCCCGAATGATGCGCCTTGGCCACTCTCTTCAAACAGGTTTATTTGAGAGTACACAACTCGTGAGATCTACCACTAGTTCGAGTATACGAACTGCGCTGTTGATAATCATCTGGTTGATAGATCATAAGTTCCGTTTCAGGGACCATGCTCTTGTGTGATCGACACCAGCTTGAGATCCCGGGAATTTGGCTAGTCTGGGAAGCCAAGTGCATGTCAGATTTCGAATTCCAGAAGTACATTCAACACCCGCGGAAGTGCCTGTGTGCACGGGCGGCGATTACAAGCCAATAGGATCCAGCCAATCCGCAAAACCCGAAAAACAAAACGCCCTCTATACAAATCCCACGCCTCAGGTATATGCTCATCAATCCACCGACAGACATGCTCTCCAATCAAGAGACGCATTCACTAGCCGAGGCGGTTTAGTCCGACCCGGTCAGTTTGGACTTGATGTTGATGATATCTTCATCGGCCTCCACTTCAATCACCCGGTTGACTTGAGCACTGGTGCGCATCAGCTCCACTGCATTTGCATACGACATGCGTTGCATCGGGTTGCAGTTTTCCGGGAGCCAGTAGAGGAGAACATAAGGGACTGAGGGACGTCCGTCTTTCTGTGAGTGCATATCTCATTAGTACGTGTGTCATACGACGGAGACCAAGCCTGCATTGTTGATAGACAACTTACGGTGGTCATGGGGTGACTGAGGAGAATGAACCGTGGCGAGGATTCGGGAAGATCATCGGCTAGATCTTCCATGTTGGAGTAAATTTCATCGTCTTGTGGCCGGATCTCCTGGGACTTTGCATCAATAATATCTATCACGCGCCACTTGTCAGCTTGAAATTCAGGAAATGATATCGACATGGCTATGGTTGTTCTGGCACTATGTACGTGCTATACAACCCAGCTTCTGTCGAAACGCACGGGAGACGTGGGATTGCGCAGATTTAGGGGCCCATACAGATGATAGCTTGTGCATCCTTGGCCCTGGATGTGCCCAGACGAAACTTGCGCAGCTTCTCCTTGGTCTCAGGAGAGAACGAATATAGTCGTGAATCAGACTACCATAACTCAGCAGTCAGCACTTGATGGGGGAAACTCGCGAGCAGTTCGCATGGCCTATGCCAATCAACCTGGTGCGGGGAGGCATCTCACCATTTGGACGTCGACCGTGGGACACGCAGAGAAGTCAAGTAAACAAAAGTCCTGAGCCTAGTGCTAATAATGCACTGAATAAAGATGGTACTTGATATCTCCGACTTGAAAAAACGGAGAAGGCTGTAGGAATGTGAGGCCAGACGGTGGAAATGCGGGCGGAGTTTCCCTGTTCCCCCACTTCACTTCATGCACGCTTTGAACAACCCAGACACCAAATCATTCCTCTACATATATCTCTATGCTCAGCCGACTGAATCTACTGACGCGACACTTATCACGCCCATTTAGTCCTTATCGTCTCACCAGCCCCTCCTTCTTGACCCCGTCCCTGGCCCCTCGCTCAGGTCCTTCTGCGATGACATCAGCCGCGCACACGAAGCCCATCCACACGGCAGCATGCCTCATCATTGGCGATGAGGTTCTCGGTGGAAAGGTAATTTGAAATATCCT